AAGATTCATTCTAGCAGCACTTCTCTCCACATTTAACTGCTGAGATTTTTTTGAGTGACAAAAACACATCAATAAACAAAAACTCTGGCCCTTATGTCTCTTTATTTTATTCAGACTAATGTTTCACGCTATTTTCCTAACACTTTGCTTTCCTAACTTCTGTTGTGTTAAATGCTTACGGCATACCCTCGTTTTACACTGGACCACCTACTTTATAAATTGAAATGTTGACTCTGCTATGAGGGTAAAAGAGAAATCAGCCCCCTACATTTGGGCAATTCAGAAAGCATAACCAGACTTCATCCTTTTCAATGCCCTTTAAGCCCAGTTATCACTCTGCATATTCACTAGCTGATCAGACACAATGACAGCAGTATCTCTGAGGCTACAAACCCCAAAGACACCTCTCTATCCGTGGTCAAGTTCAACTTCAAGTTCCCCAAATACAAATGGACCAAACACTGCAAAGGGCATTGGAGACATAACGATAAGACATGGTTCCTGTCCCTGAAGAGGTGAAAAATCACAGGGGTCTACAATCGGATCATAACAATGTTTGATGAAGATAAGTAAAGCACAGTTATGGCAGCAAAGAGGAAGAGCCCTGTAAGAGCTCAAAAATCAATAAATGGCCGAACACAGTGGCTTGCGCCTGTAATCCCAGCACTGTAGGAGGCTGAGGTGGGTAGAAGGCTTGAGCTCAGGAGTTCGAGACCACCCTGGGCAACACTGGGAGATCACATCTCTACAAAATATATATTTTTAAAAATTAGCCAGGCCTACTGGTGTGCGCATATAGTCCCAGCTACTCGGTAGGCTGAGGTGGGAGGATCACTTGAGCCCAGGAGGTCAAGGCTGCAGTGAGCCAAGACAGCACCAATGCACTCCAGCCTGGGCCACACAGTGAGACCCTTTCTCCAAAAAAAAATAATTAAAAAAAAAAAAAAGCAGTAACAGCACATCACTTATAGAACATTTACAGGCATTGACTGTGAACAATCCAGGCACTGACTGTGTCCAGCACCATAACTGTAGGAGGAAGTATGTTATTAGCCCCATTTTATATGTTAAAAAACTGGGGCACAGAAAAGTTACGTGCCTTAAGGATTAGATTCAAAGAAGCTTGGCTGCCAGGTCCTTGCTCCCAAACACAATGCAGACACTGCCTCTCTTAAATGCAACAATTGAAATCTTAATGCTACTCTCTTATAAAGACCAAAGCAAGTTGGAAAGACACGTCCATCCTGGCCACCACGCCAGATAACTGGGGTTGTAAGAGTCAAAGCTGTAGGTTGACCAGATCCCTTCACTAAATTCTCTTTCTGCACTGACTCTTAAAAAGCTAAAAAGTGACTATTGAATAAGGGAAGGAGCCCACAGTGGATAAAACTCCAATTGGGAAGCTCTTATTAATAAAATATCTGAAACAAAAAAGCTAGATTAAAAAAAAAGGGAAGCGAATAAGTGACAACCAGACAAGGAAAGGGAAGATGACCTCAATAGAGTAGGAAGGGAAGGGGCAAATTTTCCCAGGGAAGAATCAGAAGTTCACAATCTACAATTACAGATCTAAAAAGACGGTATCAGGACGCCTAACAAACCCCTCACCTTATCAACTGCTGAACAGTTAATGACAAAAATCACAGTAAGAGGGAGGCAGAGATGAGAACACAGGAAACTGAATTCCAGCTAGACTGCTCAACTATACTACGATGAGCCTCCAACTTACAATTCACCCATTTACTTGACAAATACTGAGTGTCCACCATGGCCAGGCACAGTGCCAAGTAATGGATATACAGGGATAGACACAAGACAGCTCCAGCCCTTGCAGGCCCTGCAGTCTGTAAATTAAGTACACAAAAGGGAAAAGACCAGAGAAAAGCCTATTAGGACCAATTCTGAGCAATCTGCCTTTGTGAGATGCCCATAACACTAGCCTGTAATCATGGCCTCAAAATAGTTGCATTCTGTTAAAAGTCCAGAATATCAGCAAGGAAATTCAAAGAAATGTTGGAATAATGAAAAACAGTTAGATGCTAGTGAGAATAGACATATTTTCCTCCAATTTCAATGAAAAGCTTCTATTCCAGTACAGAACTAATAACTGAGGATAAACTTTCAATATCTAGTTTAGCTTCTCATCTCCTTTTGCGCACTGCCTGCTTTAGATTACTGCAGGAAATGTTCAGCAACACGCTGCCACTTACCAGCTATAAGACTTGGGGCAATTACCTCACTATAAAATGGAGACTCCTCTAATCATCTCAAGGGGGCTGGAGAAGGGGTAGAAGAAAGGCGGTAAAAGTGCCTTCCATAGTCCTTGGCAGAGAGTAACTATATGGGGAGCTGGATATCATCGAAAAAAACATTCCACTAAGAGCCAATTTAGTTCTCAAAATATACTCTATATGGCATTCAAGTTTAAAAGAAATCAGTTATTTTTGGCCAGGCACAGTGACTCAGGCCTATAATTTCAGAGTTTTGAGGGGCCCAAGGCAGGAGGATTGCTTGAGGCCAGGAACTTGAAACCAGCCTGAGCAAGATAGTAAGATCCCACTTCTCCAAAAAAAAAAAAAAAAAAAAAAAACCATTAACTAGGCATGTTGGCACGCGCCTGTAACCCCAGCTACTTGGGAGGCTGAGGTGGGAAGATCACTTGATCCAGGGAGTTTGAGGCTGCAGTGAGCTGAGACTGCGCCACTGCACTCCAGCCTGGGCGACAGAGGGAGACCCTGTTTCTAAAAATAATTAACAATAAAATTAAAATAAAAAGAAATTGCTATTTTTCAAAAGTCAAACTAATGTGACACAGAATGAAAAAGAAACTAGATGTTGAAACAGAAGGCAACAATGACAGAACAAAAGCATGAGTACCTCTGTCACTGGTCATACAGGGCACTGCTTCAACAGCGGCATTTTTTTCTCAACATGTTTTTGTTGATACATAATAATTGTATATATTTATGGCATACATGTAATATTTTGGTCTATACATATAATATGTAATGACCAAATCAAATTGGGAAATATGAAATATGCAATAAATATGCAATAGATTATTGATAACTATAGTCACCCTGCCATGTTATCAAACCCCAGAATTTATTCCTTTTATCTGTACTTCGGTACTCATTAACCAACCCTACTTCACCCCCTCTTCCTAGACCCTTCCCTTCCCAGCCTCTGGTATTTTCCATTCTCCTTTCTATCTCCATAAGGTCAACATTTTCAGCTCCCACATATGAGTGAAAACATGCACTATTTGTCATTCTGTACCTGGCTTACTTCACTTAACGAAATAACTTCCAGGCTCATCCATGTTGCTGCAAATGACAAGATTTCATCCTTTTTTTATGACTGAGTAGTACTCCTCGGTGTATATATACCACATTTTCTTTACCCATTCCTCTGTTGATGGACTAATGGACACTTAGGTTGACTGTATATCTTGGCTATCATGAATAGTGCTTCAGTAAATGTGAGCACAAGTATCTCTTCAATACACTGATTTCCTTTCTTTTGAATATATACTCAGCAGGGAAATTGCTGGA